GAGAGGTGATGGATGCATGCACAACATGTGCGTGTACTTAATGCTAGCCACTGAACTGTTACGTTTAAAATGGTTACTTGTTACATGCATCTCACCTCAATATTTTAAAATGAGAAGGAAAAAGACATAAATATATAATTCTCAAAAAAGATACAAAATGTCCCTTAAACACATGAAGATGTTCAACATCATTCATAAGAGAAATACAAAATAAAATTATGCCAATATACAATTTCCCATCCACTAGTTAGACTGGCGTAAGTTCAAAAGCTTAATAATATAATATGCTTGGGAAGGCTGTGAGAAAACAGGCACTTACATACTTACATTGTTAGTAGAAAGCCAAAACCCATATAAAGATGTGTGGCTGTAACTGTTGTAGATAGCAATAAAGTGGCGCCCACTTCCTGGTATTCAGGCCTCTTCACAATCCCCTCCCCCTGAATGTGTGCAAGACCTATGAGCTGCTTCTAACCAACGTATGTCACCCCTGTGATTATGTCACATTATGAAAGACTCTATTGGGAGACTGCTTGCTCTAAGCTTTCCATGCTGGCTTGATAAAGAGGCTGTTTGTGAAAAATCCACAAGATATGAACTGTGAGGTCTCTAAGAGCGGAAGCAAGTGATTAACGCACAGTCAACAAGAAGCCAGGGCCTACAACCACAACGGAATGAATTCTGCCACCATGTGTGAGCTTGGAAGACTCTAGATGAGAACTCAGCCCAGCAGACAACTTGACTGCAGCCATGTAAGACCCTACACGGAGAACTCAGGCCTTGCCCAGACTTCTGACCCACAGAAAATAAAATAATAAATGTGCGTTAGTTTAAGACTGTGGTAATCTCTTACACAGCAATGGATAACTAACACGTGAATCAAGCTACATACCTTTACCTCTCAGATGCTGCAATCCCCTATCTAAGAATTTACTCTAAAGATAACCTCCAACAATGCAAAAATACATATACATAAGGTTATTGATTATAGCATTATTTGTAATTGCAAGATAATGCCAACTACTTAAATAACCAAATATGAGAGACTGGCTAAAGTACTCTAAAGCTGTTTAAAAAAAAAAAAAGATTGAGGAACTGAGGAAGATCTCCATGAACTGATGACAGGTAGCTATTTCTGGAACGTATCATTAAGTGTAAAAAGCAAAGTATAAAATACACAGTATGCCACATTTTGTGTATGAAAAAGGGGGTACTTAAAAAACCTATCTGCTTACTTTCATGAAGAGACAAAAAGGATAAACGAGAAATCAATGATATTGATTACCTACATGGGTTGTGGGACTGGAGGTAGGGAACGAAGTGAGGTATATAAAAAGAATAGGGGAGGAAAGGACAGTGTTCCTGAGTATCACTTTTTTCCTAGTTTTATCTAGTTGATAGTCCAGAAATCAAAAAGTGAAATAAGTCAACAAGAATGAGGTAGGGGATGAGGACACACAACCCTAGAACTGAAAGTAAAGAGAAACAAATAAACCTCAATGTACTGAATTTAAAAAATAAATAAATAACCACACTGAAGAGGAGAGGGTTGAAGGGGAGCTAATATAAATAATGAAAAATATTTTTATTAAACACTCTTGGTTTATGAAGAAAAATCATGGCTATCAAATACTGAACTCATTTTGGTAGTTTTGTTTTTCTTAACTGTATGGAGATAACAAATCTGAAACAATTTTTTATATTACAGGACTGAGTAAAATGTATTGATGATTTTCCATAGTGAGGACTCTATGAAAAAAGACAGACAGAATAGGAGAAGCCAAGAAGTAACCCAAAGAGGTTGGATTGGAATTGGAGGTATTATTATGATTGTATGATTTTAAATTTGTGGGGGGTGTGTGTGCGTGTTCTGTATTGGAGTTATCACTGAACTCATGATTTAGTGTGTGAGTATGTTCTGTCCACTGAAAGGGTCAAAAGCAATGACACCTTATTAACAATGAACATGTCAGGTGCCCAGATCTTGGTTTCTATGGAGCATTCCACATTAAAAGGAAGTGAGTCCTTAAATAAAGTACCGAATTCCAGGACTGAACTAGAGTAGACAGAAGATAGGACCAGAGTATCTTATTGTGCCAAAAAGTAAGAAAGTACTAAAAAAGAAAGAAAGGAAAATAAATTAAAAAAGAAAAGATTAGGGTATGCCATGTCAAAACTGAAGTGACTCCTCCTGGCCAAATCTGAGGAAATTTGAAATTTTAAAACCAACAGTAACAGTTTATAACCACTGAATATAATTGAATAAAATAGGAACCATGAGTCCTTCCTGATAATAGTTAAGCTACATAGATACAGAAGAATGCTGACCGATAAAAGAAGTATTAGAAAATCACCATTCTACAACCATCATAGCACAGGTTAGTTCATGCAAGAATCATCAATGGACAATAATTCTAAGGGGAAGAAAGTTCAAGATGTAGCAGGATATTAATTGCATTATCTCAAAGTGTCTACCCAGAAACTGCTTATAAGCTGCAAGAAGAAAAGCAGTAACTAAACAGTGCTGAAACCAAATAACATCTTGATTAGTGATCAAAATTAAAATCATCGATGATAAGCTGAGACAGTGTAAGTCTCCAAATGTGGAATCCTGAAAAGGATACAACATTAATTATGAATTATTTTGAAAGAAGACATATACTCTAGATCTAATCATGAAGTAACATCAGTCAATGTCAAACTGTGGAATAGTCTATAAAATAACTTCCTTGTATTCTTCAAAAAAGTCAGTGTCATAAAGTAAAAAAAAAAAAAAAAAAAAAAAAAAAAAAAGGGGCCAAGGAACTGTTCCAGATTAAAGACTAAGACATTAGATAAGAAGGCAATATGACACTGAAGCAAGATGCTATCTATACTGCTGCGGGTTCTGAAGATGGAGGAAGGGGCCCTGAATCAAGGGAATAGAGGAATGCAGCTCCAGAAGCTGGGAGCTGGGAAAAGCAAGGAAACATATTCTAACCCAGGATTTCTGGAAGGAGCTCAGTCCTGCTGATACTTTGATTTTATGATCAGGAAAACTGATTTCAGACTTCTCATCTCTAGAACTCTAAGAGCATAAAATATGTTGTTTTAAGCCAAAAAACAAAAAAACAAAAACAAAGAAAAAGACTAAGACATTACATTCAAATGTACTACAACATCCTGGATTGGATTCTAGACTGGACAGAAAAATGAGTGTTATAAAGGACATTGTCAGGATAACTTATGAAACCTGAATATAGACTATGAATTAGAAAACAGTATTCAAGGTTAAATTTCCTTAATGTGATAATTTCACTGTGTTTACATAAGAGAATAAATATCATTGTTCTTAAGAACATCCATAAAAAGTGGAGGAAGGTAGGAAGGAGAGAAGTAGAAAAAAGAAATAATAAAGTAAATGTGAAATGTTAAGAATTAATGAATTTAAATAAAGAGCATATGGGAGCTCTCTGTACAATTCAAACATCTTATCTGTAATTTAAAAGTTATTTCAAAATAAAAAGTTTTTTTAAAAGAAAGAAAGACACACATGCATGTACTGAAATTTCCGGAAGGATATACCAAACTTAAAGATGTCAATCATTGAGGAGGGGAATGAGATGAGGAAAAGCAACCTGTCTACAAAGACCTTTAAATGACAGACTGAATTCCATCCAGTGGCTCTCCTTAAACATACAGTGTCTGAGTCAGGGGTTCCTAACCTGATATCCATGGACCCAAGGGGCATGGAGAGAATTCACTGGATCTATGAAGGGGACAGGGAAAAAAAAATTACACTTTAATTTCATTAACCTTTAACTGATACTTCTTCCCTCAATTATAAATGCAGGCAACAAACAGTAGTAGTTTTAGGAATATCTGTGACTTTATCAACAGCAGATAGACATACGTTTTCACTTCATATTAGTTACTAAAATCCTCAAAATAACTTGCACTGTTCAGTATTTTCAAAATACAGTTAACACTTGCTGCTACATTTTAATGATACGATTTTTTAAAAAGAAAATTATATCACAAATCAGCTTTTTTTGTTTTTGATAACTGTATGTCAGATTAACTGTTTTTTTGATAATCCTTTGTATTTTATCTTAAACATTTATAATTTTTTAAATGACTTTTTCTTTTAGATTTTATTTACTTATGTTTAGAGGGGAAGGGAGAGAGAAAGAGAGGGAGAGAAACACCAATGTGTGGCTGCCGCTCATGTATCCCCAACTGGGGACCTGGCCTGCAACCCAGGCATGTGCTCTGACTGGCAATCGAACCAGTGACCCTTTGGTTCGCAGTCTGGCACTCAATCCACTGAGCCACACCAGCCAGGGCTATAATTTTTTTTATCCTCACCTGAGGACATGCTTATTGATTTGAGAGAGAGGGGAAGGGAGGAAGAAAGAGGGAGGAAAAATATTGATGTGAGAGAGCAACACAGATTGACTGCCTCTAGCACACACCCCAACCAGGGACTGAACATGCTACCCTGGTATATGCCCTGGCTGGCAGTGAACCGGTGATCTCCAACCAACTGAGCCACACGGACCAGGGCTATCTTAAACATTTATAGATGTCATTCTCATGGGTTTCAGGCTGTTCAAGGTTTTCATGACATAAAAAAAGTGAAGAATCTCTGCTCTAAGTTATCAACCCCTCATTTGCCTACAGGTATGTCATAACAAGGAAAATTAAGTTTTTTGCAGCTTTTTGTTCTGTCATGAAGCAAATTATAAAGATATCACTGACAATGAACATTCGATCTAACCCTCTCATTATTTAATTTCTAATTTCCCATATGTGCTAGAGCAATAACTATTCACATTAACTGCAAAGCATCTAAGAACATAAAGCATCCAAGAACAAATACACCATCACACGCCCACACATGGAAAAAAAATAACAGGCACCCAGTAACTATAAAAATTAATCAAGACCAAAATGCTTCATAGAGAAACTCAGTGCTTACATATCTTAAAGAAATTGGTTAAAAACAAGATACTATTTACCATCTCTCTTTTGGAAAATTTTTTAAAATTTCTTTAATGATTGGCTGGTAACAGGCATCCCTTTCTGCTTTCCCAGTTTCACACCAGTCTCGCACAAACTGTTTCAGTGTGGATTTCAACTTATCCATGTCAAATGTAGATGCTGGCATAATCTTTCCATTCCCCTGTTTAAAAAAAAGAAATCAATTAGTTTTTGAGAAAAGTAATCAATCTTGAATATGGTTAAACAGACATGCTACTAAGGGACTATATAGAGCGATTAGGGGATAAATCACTGGCCTCTCACCTCAACGGGTTTTGAGTGCAGCTTGAGATCCTAAATGAAAAGTTTGGTGGTCTCACTTTTACCCTCAATAGATTATGGTCCATTAATCATGAAACCACCATATAATTAAGCAGTCTTTACACAGGAGAGGACCAGCACTGGGCTGCTATGGAAACCAAACATTCTCTAAGAGAGAAAGAAGAAAAGTCCCTCCAAGTCATTGCTGGGGACGCATGGAGAGGCTTACAGTGGAGTGGTCCAACTGTACCTATCCTGTGGATACAAAAAGAGGACTTCAGTTTCTATTACTGCCAGTCCCTTGAGATTTATAAGTGAAAAAAATTTCTTAAAAGATGACTATCAATGGATACAAGATGCTAGAAACAATGAGGTTAGTAAGGGACATTCATAAAAATTACATTGTTAACTCTATATGCCAGAACACTATGTTAAAATTTATCAAAATGCCAACAATTATCTTAGTATTTAAAGAAAAAAAATCAGTGAACAAATCCAGTTTCTGTCATAGTGTTCTACTAAGCCTGATCAAATGACTGAATATACAAGTGAAAATAGTCTGAGTAGAGCAAATGACCTGTGCAAAATTATAAAAATGAAATCCAGAAAGACCACAAAATATTGAGAGTAAACTCTAAAATGAAAAATGGAACAAATTTCACATACATTTTCTCCATATTCTTTATTTTCAAACATATGTATGCAATCATTCACAATGGTCAGGAGTATTTCTTGATTATGATCAATGCATTTCCGGATCTTGTCCAAGTGAAGAAGAAACTGAGGAAGTAGTTTCTGTTGATTAGCTGGAAGTGATCGAAATTGTCTTTCTGTTCGGTTCACTCGCTCATGCATACTGGTGCTAAAACATAAAAGGTGTTTTTTAAAATGGCAAAAGAATTCTCAACGGAGACCAATCTTATTTTAAGATTGTCTTTCTGTACAATTATTCCCTTACAATGATGGATGCTGTCCTGTCATTTACAATCTTTTGGTTTCTTAAAGGACATCCACCTAGAAAGTTCTGTACATCTTCACCTTAGAAGAAACTCTCTAAGCAGCCAAACAAAATACAAATTGTTTACAATTAGTAAAAGTAAACATCTGCACCAACGGGGGGGCGGGGGGATTAAGAGGGTTAGTGTACAGTAAGTTTATTTTCATGACTTTAATTTCTAAACTTAAAATTTTCAGCATAACTAGCTGAATGCTTTAGATGTCTCCATCAAGTAACAGAATGCTGCTCTGAAATTACTTTAGAACTGATACAAAATGTGTTTTGAAATTAACTAAGAGTCAACCAAGTTGAATTTTTAAAATATCATAAGATCTTATGTACTATAAAAGTAGTAAACAAATTAAGAACTGAAATTCTATTGCATTTTTACATGACAATATTCACACCTGGCATTCTAAAAGTTTCCAAATAACTCTGAAGTTTATGTTGGGGACTACCTATTTATAAAATTTGGAAAGAACATATTTTTAAACTTGAATATTAATACCCACAATGAAATGCCATTTTACTTTACCCAAATGGGCAAAATTTTAAAGCCTGTTTATCTGAAATGTTGGTAAAAATGTGGAATAATTAGGATAGGTTTATACTGATTGATGGTGGGTACATAAATTAGTACAACTACTTTGGAAAATAATTTAGCATTACCTAATAAAGCTTAATATGCATATTCCCAATGGCCTATCAATTATACTCCTAGACACATACTCAAAAAAGTCCTGCAAATGGTCACCATGAAACATGAACAATCTTCATCACAGCCCTGTTAGAAATAACAAACAAAAAATCTGGAAACAACCCAAAGGTCCATCACCAGTAGAATGAACAAAGAAAGCACAGTATAGTTATAAATGAAATGCAGTTGAATTAATAAATTATAGCTACACACAATATGGATAAAACTTGGGAACATAAATAATTGTTGAAATATCAAGTTATAGAAAAAATATGTAATTCCATTTTATATAAAAATAAACAATATATTGTAGGAACTGAACATTTATAGAAAAATTACCAGGAAAGCAAGGAAACAAAAATTCAGGAAAGTAATGTTTTTGAGGGGAAAGGGATAGGATAATGTTCTTTTTAAAAGCTGGGCGGGAGGTTCATCATTCTTTACATTTTACATATACAAATTAAAAATAAAACATCAGTATTTAAAGAAGTTTTGAATAAGCTCCCGACAAAAGTTAAGCAAAAACCTGGACATGTTTTTAGAAGCCTGGGTGCAGTGGAATTCAGGGGGTGGGGGCAGGGGCAGTTGGAAGCAATGTAAAAAGATCAAGTTGGCACTGACTGGCTGCGCTGATGTTTGCTTTTTGGCCCCCCACTCCCCACCCCTTGAGACAGTATAACAGTGAGCTCTTGAATCAAACAGATCTGCACTGACATCCAGGTTATGCCACCTATTTGCTATGGGACCCTTGGCAAGTTACTTCCTTTACCTGTGCCTCAACTGTCTCATATACAAAAATATAAAATGATGATGATGATTAAAGAAGCTATCATGTATTGAGACATGAAATCCCACGAGGTAGGTACCCTTACACTCCTCTGCCTATCTATGGGGTTTCACTGAAAATGTAACAAAATAATGCACACAATACACTTAGCCCAGTGCCTGAAAACATACCAAGTGCTCAAATATAGTAGGCATATCTAATTTACAAAACTACTATGTTCACAATGAAAATATGAAGATTGCAGAAAAGTAAAAGTACTCTTTAAATTAATATTATAATCCCTCTTTTAGAGGCAACTACTTCTAACTTTTTGGCATACATAGTTCTCTCTTTTGTTGTTAAAAACAAAGTCATTTGGCACCTTTCTAGTAAAAATGTGGCAGTACAGCCCTAACCAGTGTGGCTCAGTTGGTTTGGCATCATCCTGCAAAGTGATGGGTTGCTGGAAGGTCATTTGTTGGATTCCTAGTCAGGACACATGCCTGGGCTGCTGGCTGGTCCCTGGTCAGGGCACATGGGAGGGGCAATCAATCTGCTTCTCTCACACATCAATGTTTTTCTCCTCTCTCCCTCTCCCTCCCTCCTTTCCCCTCTAACCATAAATAAAATGTTTTTTTAAATCATTTTTTACTGTTATTCTATTACAGTTGTTTCCATTTTTTACTTGTCCTCCTCTGCATTTTTAAAAAATGTGGTAGTACTAAGAACAGCGGATCACTTGGAAGTGGTTAGGAATGGAGAATCTCAGGCCCTACCCAAGACCTCCTGAATGCAATCCACCTTTTAACAAGATCTCCAAATGATCCATATGCACATTAATGTTTCAGAAGCACTTATAATTTTTCATCCTTATTAGAGGAATCTTCCCAGGTCAGGAAAAAAGTTCTTAAATGACGATGGCAAATGACTATTCATCAGTTCATCTTAGCTATTTCCAAAACACCGGGCATCTAGATACTTTCAAATGTCTGTATGATGAATTTTTTTTAGGTCAAATCTGTCTATATTTTGGGGGGGAAATACCACAAGCTCCCCAAAGAATTACCATGTCAGAAACAATAGAAATTTTAAATCTCTTGATACAAACTGATTTCCAGAAAGACTGTAGCAATTTACATTCCTAGCAGTAGAGTATGACACCAAAGAAACTATTTAAAGTGGCCATAGTATGCTAGGCAAAGAGTAGAGTTGCAGCATTTACAATTTACTGTCAACAGGTTAAACAGTCTTTTAATACTTCATTTCCAGTACTCCTGGGCACTGGATGATGCCCCACAATCACTCTCTCGCGATACCTCAGAACTCAACATAGCCAAACTGAATTTAGCACATGTCCCACCAAAAAACACCTTGAACTTCTTCCTGTATGCCTGGTATCGATGAATGGAACAACATGTATCCACTCTAGTCAGAAATTAACAAATCATCCTAAAATGCCTGTTCTCATAGCCCACATGATCAGTAAGCCCAAGGTCCTTTGAGTCTACTTCATAAAACTATCTGCAAATTACAGCCCCCCTGCCCCCTGCCCAGTGCTGTGCCTCAGGCTCTCATTATGTCTCCCAAAGATTACTGATAGGTCTGCTACCTTGGAATGCTGTCCCCAACCTAACCTCCCCAACAGATGAATTCTTCTAAAATACAAGTCTCATTTTTGTCACTATTTAACCTCCATATTTCAGCATACGTAAAAAGCAATCAATAATCTTCTCCATGAAGATTAGTTATTTCCATGATAGCAGGGGAGTTAAGTTCCGGACTGCTGCCAAATCCGGCTACAGAAGTGATATAACTACACAGAGCAGGATGAGATGTAGCATATCCCTTAGCCCTTGGTTACTTAATGGTATGCCAAGCTATTCATAACATACAGACACAATGACTCTCTTGAAGTGAGATCTTATCAAAGTTGAGAAGAGTCCAATCCTTACTCTACTATTGTAATTTGGGATGCATTCACTATTCTGGAAATGCTTACATTATTAGAAACAGAGTGAAGAAATAAAATGAAGTCACTAGAGTCAAGCCACTAAATTACTACAATAAATTAGGCCAAGGTATAAGGAAATGACTTTATTCTTGTTTTAATTCACCTGGGAACTTAAATTTTTGAATTTCCCAGTTCTGTGATAGTGCCTGGATATACATGAGACCTCCAAAGAACCTCCTAATCCCCCTCTAAGGACTCATATATCCAGATCCCCTAGCTTCCATAATGCAGACTATGTAACATCCAACTGATAAGCATCCTGGACCAGTTCTAGTGCTAAGAATACAGGACTGATTATTCTCAAGAATGCACATTGTACTGCAAGAATTCCTAACTATTTTCCTTCTTTGAAACACATCTGAGTTTCTGTCTAGTTGTGATTCCAGTTTGCAAACCCTAAGACTCTTGAATAAGTCTTTATCATTTATTTCTAGCCAAAGCTTCTAAGCTCTCTTTGACTGACAACTATGTGCTTTAAGACAAGGGTGGCAAACTATGACCCCTACTCCCACCCCTTGGGGAGTACTTGGTCTGTTTTCATAAAAAGGGTTTTACTAGAACACAGCCATGCCCACTCGTTCACTTAATGCCTATGGCTGTTACTTCCACAATAAGGGCAGAGACCACCTAGCCCTGAGAGCCTAAAATATTCATTGCCTGGCTCTTCAAAAAACAGTTTGTCTACCCAGCTTTAAAGGACTGTTTTACAACGTTCCAACTCTCCTTGGTTCTGAACTCAGCATAATGAGACCGCATCTTCTGGAGGCTATGGAGACAAAATAGTCAGCAGCCATCTTCCCTTAAGGGTATCTCTACTTCCAGCTCTCTCTCTAGACGGCTGGTTTAGAGCACTTGACTCAGTCAGCTTTCATCACAGTAGGTGCGATGCTGGATCTGAACCAAGGGCCAAGGTCACTGACCCATCCCTCAGCACATGTTTAACTACTCTAGAATTCCAAACAGGAAAGCATACTTTTTCAGAAGGATTGTTTGCCTTAGTCCATTTAAAATACTTTATTAAAGACCCAAGGTAAAAACTGTCATACCAGTATCACTGTTTACTAATGCAGGGTAAAATTTTGGTAAATGATTTTGGATTTCAGGCCAGACACTAGCACGATTTGGTTGTGCAGGACTGGACAACTTAATCCTCTCTTTCTATGCTTACCCCATTGCCTGTAAAAATGAGCTCTACATCTCAATTTTTAAAATCTCACCTAACTGCTATTTCTAAAAGTAAAACAATTCTGACAAGATCTTTGATTTTTCAACTGTAGTGTTTTCTACATGACGAGGTATCTTCATTCATAACAAGAGTGGTATTTTAAGGTTAATGACATGTTTTGCTATTCATTACAATGCTATAATCGTCTTTACCTTAATCAGAACATGTCATCTAAGCAAAACCTGTAGAAAGCACGTTAGAAGCCACCGGAAAGAAAAAACATTAATCAAAAGACATTTCTTGCCCCATGACTTTAATCTAAATCTCCTGTATATTGACTAAGAGACATTTAGCAATAAAACCAAATTCTGTGGCTGCAGAGGCTGAGGAAATGAATTTTTAATTTTGTTAAGTTTTAATTAAGCTTTAATTTAGCCAGATGTGATTAGCGGCCAAGATATTGGACACTGCAGGTCTAGGTCATAAAATGTAATATAACAGTCCAGTGTTTTTTGCTACATAATGCTTTCCATAACCCTAATCCTTTAAGTGATATTTTAAAAAGTGTATTTTAAATCATAAACTACTTTCAGTTTAGAGATTTAAAGTGCTTCATCAGAGAGTACATGCAAATAAAAAGGATTGTTTTTAAAAAAATGAAATTCTCCTCACTACCACATTAAACTGGTAAAGAAGAGGGACTAGAGTACAGGAAACTGGATCACAACCACTAGAACATGCATACAATTGCGCTTTTATACACTGCCTCACTTGGGTCCTAGATTGAGGGCCAAGTCCCTCTACCCCCATACCAAAGAGGTCCATCTGATGCCTAATCATAAATACCAGTTCTAAATTAGTCCTAATATTTTACAACTGGGTCTACACACATTTTAATTAATTATGTCCATTATATTCCCAAGATATTTCCCAATATTCTTTCTACATTTTTCAACAATAAAATGCACCAGACTTTTCTCCATCTACCACTCTTACCTACCTAATGTCACCTGCTTCCCCTGCCTTGTATGGTTCTGTGAGGCGCAATACTTACATCAAATCCAATTCTCCAGTTGTCTGCCTGCCTTCCTTTTTGACACTAAAGTCCCCACGCTATTAATTTTCTTTCGGGCTCCATGAGTAACACAGTCCATGGTTCCTAATTGGCAAATTACTTCATTAAGGTCTTTGAACTTCAAAAATTCATGCTGCAAATGTAATCAGATTCTAAATAACTTTAAGCTTTTATTAAGCAAGTTTCTAAACTCAGAATAGTAACAAACTAGTTCACCAACTGGTCACAAACTGATAAGACTATTTGGGAATAACAAATGTATTTCTTTGCCACTACCTATCTTATTTGTTAAAAATAGAGCTTCAATAACCTACAGCAAACATTGGTGACATAAAAATAAATGAGGCTCAGTTCCTGCCCTTGAGGAGGTCATAGTCGAGCAATATTTAAAAAAAAAAAAAAGTCTGCATAAAGCACAACAGAAGCCCATCTAGGGGAACAATTCTTCTTGCGTGGGAAGTCATGTCTGATTATAAGTGCAGACTCAGAACATGTTCCACGGTGGATTCATCTCTTAGCACGAATAAAATACTATCTTTACCTGAAAACCCAGTTGAATTAAGTCCCCTTCATATTTTGGAATTAAAATGTTGTGGCTAAGCTTTTAACATCTCTCTAGAAGAAAAGTAGAATTTAGAAAGTTTAAAAGTCCTACCATTGTGCCAGGTTCACAGTGAGAATTCGGATCCATATTTGCAAAATGAAAGATCACAATGGTGGCTCTTACTATGCCTCCGCTCACGTCCCTCCGTAATTAGCAATTGTTAAAACATCCGGACCATCTCCAACCTTAACTTCACCCACCAGATAGACAATCAGTCGCACCACTCACTAGCTCAGCACAAACGTGCTGTACTTTCACAGCACCGTTGGGGGTGGGTTGGAAATCTTAGGCTATTCTCACAAGAATGGGCACCAGTTTGGGAAAATACGTCCCGCCGCATCCCACGTGGAGGTGAACTTAGGCTCTCAGTCAATTTAGTTTGGAGACCATCGACAACACAAATCACGCCCAGAAGTGAACAATTTTACCACCATCACCTTCTGTCTGAAAAATTGTCACAGCATTTTCCGGTCACACCCCCCCCCCCCCCCGCCATCGGCCTCAAAGCCAAACCTTTAACAAGGGAGGGAAAGCAAGAGACCTAATCTGAATCCTGAGGTCAGAAGACAAGAGACTGAGCAGCAGACGGCGCGGCAGACACGCGGGTGGGCAGGACCAAGAGGAGCTATTGTGGTGCGAGGTGACTCGGGGACCCCGAGGTCAGCTCAGGCGGCCCGGTCGGGGAGTCCCGGAGGCGTGGCGGCCAGGGAGCGAGAGCAGGGGGCGCCCCCGTTCCGTCGCCGCAAGCCGCCGACGCCCCGAAGGGCTGAGCTGGAGTCCACCACGGGCTCCTTACCCGTAGTAGCGAAAAGCATTAATGATCTTCCAAAAGTGCTCGCGCTCGAGCCTCTCCTCCTCCTCCTCCGTGCTGCGCGCGGCTACCACCGCCGCCGCTGCCGCCGCCGCCGAATCCACCGCGACCGAGCCCAAACGCCCGGCGGAGAACTGCACTTCCACCTCCTCGCTCACGCCGTGGACGCCGCGGCCCCCGCGGCCGCCGCCACCTCCCCCACAGTCCTCTGGCAGCTGAGAAGCGGGCGGCGAAGGGCGCCGCCGTCGCTGCATAGCTGCCACGGCCCTCAGCCTGGCTCGCTTGCGTCTTGCCGCGACTGAAAGCGTGGTGGCGGCTGTTCGGCTTTCCCCCTAGACACGCCCCCAGCTCGCGGCGCGCTCCGCCTCCGCCGCCCTCAGGCCTCCATCCGCGCGGAGCTCCGCAGGGTCTTCTCAGCACCCAGACCTAGCGCGCATGCCCTTGCGAGGGTACGACGGAGCGCCGCGGCCGCCAGAGCTCATTTGCTGCAGACCTTTCGCGATGGCGCGCTGACGTCACGACGACACGTACAGAGGGCGGGGGGAAAAGGCCTGGTGGGAGGAGCGATGGGGGAGTTCCCTGTGGTTGCTGGCTCAACACCTGCGGATGGCCTCGTGGGTGAGGTTCAAGAGCTTGGAAGTGCTGGATTGTGGAACAGGCAACTAAAGTACTGAGAGAGGAGAAAAGCAGGAAAAAAAAGTTAAGCTTTGAGGAACTTATTCGAAATTTTTATTTCACAAAGTTTAGAAGGAAAATCTTGCATTCACCCTACTTTTAGTTTCATTTCCTAAGATTAAATTGAATGGAATAAGCTATTTCCTAAGAACAGCAGCTGTTTTAGCAATTAGCCCAGAAAGAAATGGGGCGAGAGGCAAGAAAGTACTGGATAGAGTAAGGTCCCTGCATTTTCCTCATCTGCTGCCATCACCAGTCAGGGCCTGATGAGGATTTTTCACAGGCACTTACACACTTACCGGGCACTTGCCTTTGAAAGATCACCAAAGTGCACAAGGGCCCTAATGCGTCATCATTGGCGCAGCACTAGCATCTAATGGTGGCCCTTAACCATGCCAGACCTCGTTCCCTCTCCCTACCCCCCACCCATTTCTCTCTGGGCTAATAGCTAAAACAGCTGCCTTACCTGCATTTGATGTTATTTTTGGAAAGAACTTACTCCATTTAATTTAATCTACCACCCAGCAAATCAGTCTTTCAAAATAATAGTGAAAGGAAAAGATTGTTTTATGCAGACAACTGAAACATGCCCGGGGACCACAAATTTTGTTTAAAAGATGTAATCATATTGAAAATGAAGTGAATTATTATTTTCATCATTTCAATTAATAATTGAAATTATGGCAATGTTACTAGTGTGGCTTTCTTTGCTAATGTTATATATTTTTTAAAGATTTTACTTATTTATTTTTAGAGAGAGGAGAAGGGAGGGAGAAAGAAACATCAATGTGTGGTTGCCTCTTGCGTGCCCCCTACTGGGGACCTGGCCCGCAACCCAGGCATGTGCCCTGACTGGGAATCCAACGGGCAACCCCGTTGGTCTGCGGGCCCGCACTCAATCCAGGGAGCCATTCCAGCTAGGGCTAATGTTACATTTTTACAGAAGACTTTTATAATATTGAGTTGGGTAAAAGTAAGTTTACAGTTCATATGGAAACAGACATGAAGATTATGATTATTAGACAATAGCTTTATTAACTCAAAAGAATGTCACAATGGCACAATGCACTTAAGTACAATCTCTTAAGTGTTCAAATTGCTGGCCTTCATTCTTTACACATTCTTGTAGTCAACTTGCTATACTCAGGCACACTTTGGCATAGAGTTCTTACCTGCTTTTGCCCACCCCTGTATTTTAAAGTCTAATTATTGATATATTTTAATATTAATGTAATAATGCATGGTCCAAAATTCAAAAGGAGGGTCAAAAGAGTTGCAAATGTGAAGTTTCTTAACTTCTGTCTTTAACCACCTATATCCCCTCCCCAGACACAAGAGATCAATTCCTTGCCTATTTTTTGCAGATTTTATATCCACTGCCCATTTTTCTTTGAGAGTGGTGTTTGGAAGTTATGTAAAATGCTCGTAATATTAACTGTTAGCAACACTATTTTTATAAAACTGAAGGAGGGAGGTTTGGAACAGAGAGCACTCACCACTGGAATCCCAGAGCCGTCAGTCACAGAGACTCGAGCACAAAGGAGTTTTTTAAAAAATGTTTTTTCCCCCTTTAACCTTTATGTTATAATTAAGTGTTTAATACCCTATTTTGAAACAGAGTTGCAATTTCCTGCTTCTATCTATCTTATTCAAAATTTCGTATACTTTTATCTTTTTGTTCCATGTAGAATTCCCTTCATTTCTTGTAATGCAGGTCTTGCAGTGATAAATTCCCTTAGCTTTTGTTTGTCTGGGAAAGCTTTTATTTTTCCTTCATATCTAAAGGATAATAAAAACATGGAACACAATGCTAATCCCTTCTGTATTATTCCAATTTTAGTATACCATGAGGTGTCCCCCAGGACTGTACCCTGTTTTCAAGCTCCTGATCCTACACACCCGCTATACCATGGAGAGCATCACCTGGGCATGGGGCCAACTCATCTCGGATGGAGGTATATTTGATAAGGCAGTGGGCACAGGTGGTAGGGGCCATGTGCAGTTGCTTCGGCGGGCTACGCCTCAGCTGACCTACCGCTCTCTCTCTCCTCCTGACCATCTGGCTGACTGAGGCCTGCTGTGAATTCCAAGTGCCCTCTTTACCCACAATGCTTTATGGCTCTGGGAGATCACTGCCCGGTATGTGGAGGGGACTATCCACCTCTTCTACCATGGGGATGATGACGTCAGAGGGGACCCTGAGCTGCAGGCCTGGTGTCAGGGTATCACTGAGGTGGGGTCGTGCCAGGCCCAGGACCAAGGTTTCCCTGTCTCCCTCCAGTCCCAAAATCAACTGTGCCATTTCACTACCATGTGTGTTTTCATGTGCACTGCTCAGCATGGGGCCATCAGCCAGGGCCAGCTGGAGTGGTATGCCTGGATTCCTAATGCCCCATGCACAATGCAAATGTCCCCACCCACCACCACAGAAGATGTGACAATGGCCACAGTGATGGGCTCACAACCTGATGTCCAAAAGACCTGTTTTCAAATGACCATCACATGGCATCTGGGTTGCCGCCAGCCAGACATGGTGCTTCTGGGGCACCACAAAGGAAAATATTTCTCAGATCCCACAGCCGAGGCTGTACTAAAGCAATTCCAAACAAACTTGGAAAACCTGGAAAGGGAAATTACAGCGCGGAATGAGCAACTTGACCTAAGCTACGAATATTTAAAGCCCCGCCACATATGAGAACAGCATCACTATCTGAGCTCAAAGGAGCCATTTCTATCTTGGATATCATGGTTTGCTAAGTCTCTGCTGCTAGGGCCCTGTTTTCTCTCCCAGCTAAATCCTTTACATCAGCACCCCACTAGCCCAGGGGGGCAGCAGACGTTTTCTGTAAAAAGCCAAATAAAAATTTTAGGGTATGTGGGGGAAAAAAAATCATGAGTACATGAAACAGATTTTATGTTGTAATATTATTAATTATTGTATTATTCCATACTGACAACTGTAAAGCTACTTTTGCCCCACCCTGTATGTGCTGCCAAAGCAGACACTTCACTTTATTTCTTCACACTATTCCTCAAATCAATTAATTCATTGGTATCAATTAGCTGAAAATATGGATTTAAAATGTAAAACTTGAAGCTGGAATCTTGTCTAAGGAAGTGCCAGAATTTCACTATCTTTCTAAAATCTCTAGAAAAATCAATGGCTTTTTTTTTTTTTTTTTTGGCAAGAGGTAACATTTCTTTTCCACTCTTGACGTTTCCACCCATGAAAAGGGAGTTCAGTCAAGCAATACCCCTTGACTTTCTCTACTCTACTCACTCTGCCTGGAGAAGATAGGGCATCTCATTTGACTGGTGAGAATAAACTGCAAGTGCTCAATTCTATTCCTGACCTTTTGCTTCCCTCCTGAGAGTAAACTTGCTTGCAGTAAACACAATTTCTTGTCTGTTTATTATGCCACAAAACCCTTCCCAGTTGGAAAAGTCTTGGTCCAATGCTGCCTATGACTAAATAATTAAGTCTGACTAATTCTAGATGAAGTTAGGAGGCCCATTTGGCTCTCACAGGATACAATCTTTAAGATTGGTTTTATCAGTAAGAGGGGATATTTTGGCCACTATCTGTCTCTCCTTTGTCTAATTGCTCAATTTGTTTTGATTCCAGGTGGGAAATAGAGAAGTGTATTAACTGTATTTTCTTATTTTCTGTATTTTTGATGCTCTACCATCTGAGGCTTCTCTGACTAGGGAGAGACTGACCCTTCCAGGGCTAGGTAACTCCTACAGAGATCAAACAAGTCCCCTGAACCTTTCATATGCAAACAGACCAACCCAGAACCCACAACCCACAACCACCTCCTTTATCTGAGCAAGTATCTAAGAATTTATCAGTTGATCTGCATCTTAAGTGGGAAAAATTCTTGTGCTCTGAACACAAGAGAAATTAAATTCATGGTACAAGCTTTCAAGAAGCTTATGATACAGTGGGGAAGCAAAACTGGAATATATTAAACAATTGAGATGATGTAGTGTTAAACAGAATTGATAAAGTAAGGTGTAATGGGAATTAAGGAAAGCGAGAACAGTTTGAAAGTAGCATAGAGCTAAATCTCAAAGGGTGACTTTAACTTGAAGAGGCAGAGATATGGGAGTACTTTTCACAAACCAATTCAAATTGACTTAAGCCAAAAAGGGAAAAAAGGATTTATTGCTTCTTATCCTGAATAGATCAGGCATAGGCAGGTGTAGAAGTTCAAATTTATAGCATCCGAAATCTGTCAGTTGCTATTTCTAGTAGTGCTGAAACAACACTATTCTTTTCTAAAGTCCCAACAGACGGTCTGGGCAGGACTCTCATTGGACCAGCTTGTATTGTGTGCTCGTCATTGAACTGATTGCTGTGACCAAGGGGCTGTGGTTCTCCAATTAGCCAGGCTTGGAGCACATGTCCACCCTACAGCTGGCTGTGGAGTCAGTGACATCCAAATCTATGGACTGGAGGCAAGGATTTAATGGTTTCCAAAGGAAATTTCTGAGTGATGTTACCAAAAGGTGAAGTCAATTTTGAACAGAAAAATCACAATTTTTGGTGTACTGGGGGAATAATAACAGAAGCAAGGTGGAGAGGAAGGCAAAGACCATTCTGATTATAATCCATATGAAGGAAGATGAGAAAACAGATTTCAACAATTGAGATGATATAAAATTATTAGACCCTTTAAGATCAGGTGGAAGAGTTAGGGTGAGTCACTAAGTCAAGGAGATTTCATTTTAGATTCTGAAATGGCAGTGCACTATGATAAAAGAGGCAATATAGAGCATTTAATCGAACAAGGGCAGGGGATAAACTGTTACAGCCTGGAAAACCAGATGTGGAGATTGTTCAAGTAATACTGGAATGGTGTGATAAAAATTTATGTTGGACAGTAATAGTGAAGAGAAGAGATTAAGGCAAACCCAGATGATATTTTCAAAGGAAGAAAAGACAGAGTTGAATGAATATAGGGGAATAAATAAAGAGAAGAATCAAAAGGGATGACAGAGGTTGTAGCCAGGGTTGCAAAGATACTACTAATAGATTTATAAGGAGTGTGGGTTTCTCCTTCCCCAATGTCCCCACTCCACAAACTGCTCTTTTATCCTACGATTTCCATCGCTAGGCTGGGTAAAGACTACTGGAGGTTCTAAGTACTGAAGGATTATGGTACCCCACCTCTCACATCATATGTGATTCTGAGTAAGACTATTAAGTGGTGAAATAAGCATAAGAAGTCCAGCAGTCACGATTTGTCACATGGTGCTGTGATACTTTGTTTACAATCACAAATATTGAGTTTTTTACAATTTTTCTTATTAGAAACTTATTTGCTGAAATCATAATTCATGTTTAGTTTATGTAATCCAGCACTACTTGTTAAAAATAATGTCTTTATTTTTAACCATTAGGTTAAAAACATATTTTTAGACTATACGTGTTCTTTCTTTTTTTGTTTTTAAGACAGCTTTAAAATGGTGCCCTAATACAGCCAAAAATTTTTTAAATTTTTCTCATAGGTAATGAAAACAGGGTATCAAAGGGATCTCTGCACCCCCATTTCAGTGCAGCATTGTTCACACTAGCCAAGACATGGAAACACACTAAGTGTCCGTCAATGGATGATGGATAAAGAAGATGTGGTAGGATGTACAAATAAATTAAAATCCTGAAATTTTCATTTATAGCTTCCAGCTTGTTTTTAAAAAAGAGAATATCTACCTAATCTTAGTAATTAGGACTATTTGATGGGGGTACCAATTATATATAAGAAGAAAGAAGAGAAAAAGGAAGAGGAAAGATGAAAAGTATATCAGGTAAAGCTATCTCTTGATTGGGAAGGCAGAGGTTTATCTCACCTTTTTGGCTTCTTTTCTCAGTCACTAGTTCACAGGATGGAGTCTTCTTCATTTTAGGAAACTGGAAAGATTCAGTAATTTGGCAGATAGAGTATAGAGAATGTGAGAATTCCCAAAGGAGTAAAGTATAGAATGGAAAAAGAAAGCCGAGCCAGGTCACAATTCCAAAACCATTGACTAGTGGGTTAGTGGAGTATGCAATGGGAGTTGCAGTTCAATGCCTTGTCACTAACTTTCCACTCCTACACATTTTAGGTTTTTTCTCTGTCTTTAAATAAGAGCTAATGTTTAATGAACACATATCCTGTGCCCGATTACTATGCTAAATGTAAAATTTTGCATGAGTTAAAAATTTATTCCGCACAGCAACTTTATAAAGTAAGTTTATTATTATCTGCATTTCACAGACAAGGTGACTAAGCCTCAAGATAGATTCTGCTCTATATGACACCAAAGCTCTGGCTTTCATGACCACATTAACCATATTGTATTATTTAGTGACTAGAGAAACTTTTTTTTTTTTTTGCCTGGGTGACCATATTTCAATGCAAAGCCAGGATTTTTATTGCTGAAGAATGGGCCGATAGAAATCTGGAGGCATCCTCTGTCACATTCAATAAATCAGCACAGTCGGTTTTCCTCTAGTGTTGGAACAGATCACTGTTTCTTCAGCTGAGCACCAGATGAAGTAACTGGCTTGCATTTAGGGGTTGTATTTTCTAAAGAGTCAAACCACATTTAGCATGGTGGAATGCTCACACTACTGTGTATTTGGGGGGCTGATGAGAGATCTTGTAAACGTATATCTTCTCCCACATTACCTGCGGGACATATAATCATTTTCTTTCTTTCCTCTGCCTTCTTCCTCTCTCCCTGTCTTTCTCTCTCTCTCACCCTCCCCAGCCCAATTCCCCATTCCCCTGTTCTGTCTCTCTCTCCATTAAGCCTATATAGGTGATTAGAATTTGATGCAATGGCATTTTTTTTCCTGGTCTCTTTTTCATTCACCTTTCGAAATAATTTTGGGCTTCAGGAAAGTTGCAAGAGTAGTACAGAGAATTGTTTAAAAGATTTAATTTATTTATTTTTAAAGAGGGGGGAAGGAGAGAGAAAGAGAGGGAAAGAAACATCAATGCTTTTTTGCCTCTTGAATGCCCCTAACTGGGGACCTGGCCCCCAATGCAGGCATGTGCCCTGACAGGGAATCCTAACAACTTACCTTTCAGTTAGCAAGGTTTGCAGAATGACGTCCAACTCACTGAGCCACACCGATCAGGGCCAGAGAATTTTTATATTCTCTTCACCCAACTGTCTCTATGGTTAACATTTAAAAAAATTGTTTTTATTGATTTTTTTTTTTTTTAGAGAGAGAAAGGGCAAGGGAGAGAGAGAGAGATCGAGATCAATTTGTTGTTCCCCTTATTTATGCATTCATTGTTTGATTTTTGTATGTGCCCTGACCAGGGATCAGACCCACAACTTGGGGCATATGGACGACACTCTAACAAGCTGAGCTACCCAGCCAGGGCTAATGTTAACATCTTGCATAATCATAGTACAATGTCAAAATTAAGAAGTTGGTACAATAGTATTCAGTAAGCTACAGAATTTCTATTCATTCCACCGGTTTTTCTACTAATGTTCTCCTATCGTTCCAGAATTCATTCTAAGATCTAGCACTCTATTTAGTCATTATGTCTTCTTTGTCTACTGTGACTACCTGTGACATCTCCTCAGTCTGTCTTTTTCTTTCATGATCTTGACACTTTGGGAGAGTAGTGATCATTTTTTTTCATATGATGTTCAAATGGGCTTACCTGGTGTTTTCTCATGATTAGAATA